CTCTGGTTAGCTTATGTCTGGGATTCCTATACAGACTGTCCCACTCAGTCTTAGACTCATCAGTTTACACTGACAATTCTCAGTCATTTCTGTTTCCCTCACATTGGGGTTGATCCTAAAGAGAAGAGCACAAACAGACATTCTGGCAACTGCATTTTCTAATCATCAGTTGTATCGAACTTGAAGTCAAGGACTATCACAGCATAAGCAAAAGTCCAATGTTCAGGACTGGACTTGTCCTAGACTCTCACACAACACTCTTCCTTCTGTAACTGACTCTCCCTCTTAGTTATGAGTATTTCTAGCAGTGTAATGCCATTTCTGTCATTCAGAAGCTTTTTTAACACCTGCCACATGAGCCATCCCAGCATCTTGATGTGGATCCCAAAAAATGAGTCATTCCAAAAAGGCATGGGTTGTTTTGATTAAACAAAAAGAAGACATTTGGCACTAGTTTCGAGGTCTAGATCACTCAACCAGTCCTGTGACCTAATCCAAGACCATAAATAAGAGCCTACATGTTGCAATGAAACATGCTTGAAATGTTCTGGACATGGTTGTGAATGTGATGGTTTGAGTGTAGTATTAAGCTAAACTGTGGGTCCAGATCAGGTGAGGGAAGAACTTATTCGAAGATATCCCCAATCACTGTGATATACCACCTGAATCAGATATTCATCAAGTGATTACTACATTGACAGCAAAAAATTAAAAAAATGTGCACAATAGTATCATTAACTTCAAAAAGATGGATTGGAATCATATGTAAGAAACCACTGGTTTCAACATTTTTTGAAACTAACAGCACAGTAAAGCCCAAAGATGCATGTTGAAGTTTCAGCAGATTCATCACAAGATGATTTCCCTAGTGATTCTCAAATAAAAAATGGCATTTCTGCAATGAAGAGTAAATATAAGAAGAATAGTATAATGCCCAGTATGGTACCACCATAGTATAATCCATATAGATTTCATCATGCCATATTTTCATTAATATTTAGTTGTTGTTTATTCCATTTTAGAAGTTTTGCCAAGTTCATTCATAGAGATTATCAAAACAACCGTAATCACCAGTTTCCAGAATGACTCTCCTTTTGATCAACCTTGGCTCTATACTACAAGAGGTTAGGCTGGCTCATGTGGCAAGTATTAAACTTAAAGAACAAGAGTTCAAATAAAGGGCAGTAAAAGTTTCAAAAGAAACAGTAAGCTGTATCAAAATTTTCTCCTTTCTATCCACTCTATGGTGTATCCAAGTTGAACTGAATTAACTTACGAGTGATGGGATAGGTCCACTGAATAAGAGGAGATTCAAACAGGATATATATATATATATATATTACAGAATAATGATCAATTTCTGAATAAATGAGCAAGAAAAAAAGAGACAAGGTAATTCACAAAATGAACAATATTTTACTGATTCACAAAAAGTGTCTGTACATGGAACAGTCACTTTTATTGGACTATTTACCCTTTAAGATCGTGTATCCAACTGTTTAGAACCAATGTTTCTTACTTCACATTTACCCAGAGCAAGTAGAAGTGGTACTCACGTGACTGGTCATTCTCATTCAAGCACAGGTAAGGCAGTAACCTTAAAATGCAACCTGTTTTGCAATTGAAGGACACTGCTATTGATATTTTTGCACAACATGCAGTATTTCAATAAGACCCTCCATGGGCAGAATAGATACCTTCAGGAGAATAACAAAAACAAAGGCAACTAGAACAATACAAGTTTAATGGCTTTCTTGTCCACAAGTATCAGATATAAAAGACTGTTTAGTGCAGATATTACTAATTTATTTATTTTGAGTGAGCTTCATGATTTAGTTTTTTCATAAGAGTAAAAAGCAATTATATAGTTAGTTTGGTTACGTAACACGATAAGAATTGTATGTTGTGTTTATAATTCATTGATGTTGAGGCTATTCAACATAGCATGCAATCCACTGATGTCAAGGATATAGATATTTCTAGAAGGCTTAAGTGATTGATGTATAAATAGCTGTGGAGCAGAAAAAAGAGGAGAAGAGAGTAAAGTCAAAGGAAGTAGAAAGAAGTAAAGTTCAGTCAGAGAAAAGTTAAACAAAAAGTTAATCGTCGTGGGAGTGAAAGGCCCTACGGTTGATATGTTAGCGAGACTAACAATTTCATAAGAGATAAAGATAATAAGTTGTCTCGTTAAAGGGTGTTCAAAAGTAACTGAACCAGCCTGAGTGGACTTTGACAAAAGGCAGATGATTCTTGGAAATATGAAAAAAGAGTAGATGATATTTGAAGTACAGGATACAACTGCAGTAACTCAACGACAATGTAAGTGAACAATACACAGATATTCAGGCAATAGTAAGAGAAAAATAGTTTGGACTGTCAAGTGAATTGGCCTAAGTGGACTTTTGACAAGAAGAGAACCATATAGTGTTTATGATATAACTATGACCTCCATGGTATAAGGAATTTTTGTAGCTATATTTAACTTGTTTCAAATATATATATATAATTTTAAAAACAAGTGAATTGCATGCTGTTTGTATATATATTTTTTAATTCATCGCCAACAAGTCACAGACACCTACCGTAGAAGAATTCTCAGCCCAACACACCCATGTACTTATATTAATATGTACTGTTAAAAAAGTAAGTAAGACAGCCAGGATTATACAGTGGTAAATGGAGATAGAAGAAAACGTGAACATCAGCAGAAATAAGTAAGCCTATATACATATAACTGTAGTAGTAGCACAAATAATGTAGAGATTACAATTCTGCTATATAAAATGTCATGTGATTTTGATAAATGGGAAGAGAGAGGAGAGCTTCTTAGGATAAAAGACAGTGAACTATGAGAGTTTGTTCAAAAACAACAAGAACTACAGAGAGAGGAGCACAGGCAGAGAAGAGAGGAAGAAAGACTAAAATAAGAAAAGGAAAGAGAAAAACTGAAAGAAGAAAATGAGAGAGAAGAAAACAAGAGTAAGGAAACACTGGAAATAGAGAGACAAAGAATGACAGCACAAAGAGAGAAAGAAAAAGGGGAGAGATAGAAGAAAATAATAGAAAGGAAAGACAGAAAATAGAGAAAGAATGGAAGCACAAAAGAGAAAGAAGAGAGAAGAAAACAAAAGAAAGACTGGAAATAGAGAGCAAGAATAAAAGCACAAAATGAGAAAGAAAAGAGACTAGAAATAGAGAGAATAAGAGTACAAATTGAGATTCCAAAGCTCACCCAACCAAAGGAAGAAGGATTCAAGAATGACAATGGAGTCAGGGCCAGTCAAACCAAGATGCCCAAACTTGATGAACAGATAGATGACATTGATGCTTTCCTTGAGAGCTATGAAAGATTTGCCCAAAGTCAGAACTGGAACAAAGGCAACTGGGCAGTTTGACTCAGTTTACTTTTCACAGGAAAAGGCCTATAAGTACATGCTGGCATGATGCCAGAAGATTCCATGGACTTTGACAAAAGTGGCTTTGCTGAAACTATATGAACTTACTGAAGAAGGTTTTCTTTGAAAGTTCAGAGAAGCCAAACCTGATACTGGAGAAAATGTATTTCAGTTTGTGGCACACCTACAGTAATAATTCACCAGATGGACTGACATGGTATGAGAATAGTTTGAGGGACTGATAGATCTACTAATACAAGAACAGTTCATGATCACATGTTCAACTGACATGTTGCTGTTCCTAAAGGAGAGAGTAACAAATGATGTGGAGGAAATGATCATGCTGGCACAACAGTATATCGAAGCACATTGAGGGAGTATAACTGGCAAGTCCAGATGGCTGACCAGAAGCAAGAGTCTACAAAAAGTGACAAGAGGATGATAGACAGCAGGGAGAAGAGATGCTATGTTTGTTATAAAATGGGACACATTGCAAAAGAGTGCAAGCCCATAACCAGTAAGCAACAGTATAAATCTCAACATAAAGCCGCTGGAGCTATCTACAAAAATAGTGCTAATAAGAAACAAGAAAAGAGTGACTGTCACCATGGATGCTGCTGGCAGAAGAAACAGAATTGAGACAACTCATCAGATTCACCACAAAAACAAAGTGCCATTTACATGATTGATCACTGGGTTTTTTAATAGCAAGGGAGTTAAAAGCAATTATATTGAAGGCGATAGTTATGACAAGTTTGGTTACGTAAATCGGTAAGAATTGTACGTTGTGTTTATTATTCATGGATGTCAAGGCTATTGAACATCACGTGCAATGCATTAATGTCAAAGATATAGTGATTTCTAGAAGATTAAGTGACAGATGTATAAATAGTTGGCAAGCAGAAGAGAGCAAAGTCACAGGAAGTAAAAGGAAGTAAAGTTCGGTCAGAGAAAAGTTAAACAAAAAGTTAATCATCATTGGAGTGAAAGGCCTAACAGTTGATTTGTTAAGAGTGAGCTTAAAAATTTCAATAAGAGATAAGGAGAATAAGTTGTCTCATCAAAGAGTGTTCAAAAGTATTGAACCAGCCTGAGTGGACTTTGACAAAAGGCAGACAATTCTTGGAAATTTGAAAAAGGAGCAGACAATTTTTGAAGCACAGGATACAACTGCTGTAACTCAATGACAACATAAGAAAACTATACATGGATAGTCTAAGAAAGAAATAGAGAAAAATAGTTCGGCTTGTCAACTGAATTCTAAAGCAACTGAATAGGCCCAAGTGAACTTTTAACAATAAGAAGAAAAGTATATTGTGTTTAAAATATAACTATGACCTCCATAGTGTAAGGAATTTTTGTATATGTTTAACTTGTTTTGAATACATATACATTATTTTAAAAACAAGTGGAGTGCATGCTGTTCATTTATTTTTTGATTTCATCACCAACAAGTCACAGACACCTGTAGAAGAATCCTTAGCCCAACACATCCATATACTTATATGAATATATACTATTAAAAAAGTAAGTTCCTGACAAAATGTTATATGAAACTTGTACGTATACAAAGTAAAGGATAAATTCAGAATAAATAATACTCACGAGAAGGTAGAAATGCATGGTATAGTTATGTACCACAAACATAGATTTGAGGTTTGGAAAACCAAATACAGACATTCTTTGGTTGAAAACTTTTTCTGATTCACTGTAAACTTGTGGAATGGTTTGCCATGATGCTGGTAAGTATGTGATACGTTTGAACACATTTATTATTTGTTAAAGAGATACATACATTTTAAACATTTTTAACGTTTTGAATGAAAAGGGTTGACCACAAAAGAATTAATAGCTTGTCTGTTTGAAGTTAAGCTCACCAAAGGTATCAAAACCCAGTTTCTAGCACTGGAAGTCCACAGACATACCACCATGCCAATGGGGGTTGGGATTAATAGTCTTTACTCTTTATGTTATTTTCATTCCAGCACTCAGAACATATAAAGTTTGATTATTTATGCATCTACCACATTTAAATTCCTGAATCAGGTCACTTTATATCATTCTAAGGTCCAAAGAAAACCAGTTCAAATTTTTAACTCTTTTTTTAATAGCTTAATTTTTTAAAATAAGTTCTCATTCTAGCTCATTTCCCTGCATTCTTTTTAGCATGTTTGTACTTTTCTTTTAGTAAAGGGACTAAAACTGCACATTAAATCTGGTCTCATTAGTCATACATAAGGTTATAACACTAAGTATTCCAAACATATCCCAGAACTCTTATCAATTAGAATTTAATAGATGGCTTCAAGCCTTTTTTCAACACTTATACAATTATTTTGAATAATAACAGTACTCCATTCTAATGCGTTTATATTCCAGTTGCATAGCTCCACACTTCTCAACACCAAATTTCATTTTCAATATCACAAATCAGTCATTACAACTATAAAGAACTTTCTAAAAAAACAGAAATACTTAATAATATCAGCTTTATTCAAAATCATAGTAGCATCAGCATATCATTAAAATAAATAATGTGCGATAAAGGTCTCAGACTACTGATGGACCACAATATTCAAATTTACCCAAGTGTAAAAATTTCCATTTTGAATGCTTTGCTTTTTACTACCAGGCCTACTTTTTACATTAATTCCAAAACCATAAGTTTACTAATTGGTTTGTTATATGGTATCTTACCAAAGGCTTCCTAAGACTTAAGATAAACAGTAACATTGGTACCTATATTAAAAAAAAGTGAAAGCCTTAATAAAAATCTCCAACAAAATAGTAAGGTAAACAAATACCTTTTTAAACAAAAACCTGATGATATTTATGAATTTAATGTAAATTTTTTAAATGACTTTAAACACATCAACAACTACCAAAGGAAAAGGATTATAGTTTTCCAGTGTCTCTCTCAACCTCATCTATTTAAAAACTTATTTCACTGGCAATCTTCCAACCAACAAAATTTCAACCCTGTCAAACAACTTTTGAAAGGTAACAGATAATATCTTTAGTTTTTGTAAATCTCCTACAAGGCTTAAGTATTAATATTATCCAGGTGGAAGTTTCACTCTTATAAACAATTAAATATTTTACATAATCTATTTACAAAAATACTTTTAATTATATTGCAAGATTTTGAATGGATCACATTCCTCTCCAGTTTGATCAAAAAAGAAAAAGAACCCACACTTTTTATAATTATTTACAATTGAATGTAGATTAGAAACTCAATCTTTCTTTCTTAATTTTTTGTAGTTTCTGGATTTTAGATTAAAAAATTGAGGGCACAACTTATTTTTCTCCACAAATGGTTTTAGTAAAAATATCAAAGACAGTAATGCTACATTGGCATGTACTCAAGTTCTTTTGCATAATTACATGTTTAATCAAATTATCATCATTAACTGATAAAAACATCTAAAACATCTTCCTCAGTATGATTTTTTTTTTCATAAGAGAGAATTTCTCACAACCTCAAAATATTATTAAGCATCATGTAAAGAAAACAGACTAACTCGTTCAGTTTCCTTAATAATAGTATCCCATAATAATAAGTCTGTTTCCATTGGCTGCATAACTAAACTGCCTGTATATATTTCTATTGATGTTAAATTACCTGATCAGAAAGCTTGTAGAAAATGGCATTAAGCACTTCCCCTCCTTCTATTAGGAAAATGAACTAAAAACACTCAACATTTTAGTCAATGACAGTGAAATCACTTTGGAGAGTTTTAGCCTACTTCTTACAAGTAACTTCTTCCATTCATAACTGCATACCTTCAAACCTTTGACAAACAGCATACTCATAATTTGAATTTAATCCATATTGAGTAACATTAATGAAACATGTAGACCATAACAAAAGCTTCTAATTCACAAAAACAGATTCAGATGGCATTAAACTTCACAAAACTAGCATGTAAGAAATACATATTTCAGAAAGTAAATGAAAGTTAGCATTCCATCCCACTATTTATGAAGATATCACTGTTAAATATTCTGACAGGAAGTAAGTGCACATAACTAAGGATCAGCAAATACACAAGTTATACTCAAAGATGTAAAATACATGTTAGATAAATGAAATATATTAGAACACAATTTAAACATGTAATGTTAAAAACACATCATGAAGCATCAAAGTATAACAACACACAATACAATTATATTTTTAATTTGATACAAAAAAAAAATTATAATGAGCCAAACCTTAATGACTGGGTTATATAACAGCAGATACTTTTAACCAATGCCTTATTACAAAGATCTCTAGTATATTTACATAAGAAAAGAAAGAAAGCTTTTTACTTTTACTTTCAGTATTACAAATCAATCATTTTCTTTGTGTCCTCCAAATTCAGTAACCCTATGCCAACATTTCTTAGTTTCTATGTAAACTTCACTTAACAATCTAGATATTGGTACGTCAAGATGTGCATATCATGACCTTTTTAGAGTTACATTCAAATTCAATTAAATTACTTAATTATCTATGTACTTCACTACACTTGGCATCAAAATGTAATCCATAATTCATATAAAATGAATATTATAAAAGTTTTAAATATTTAAATAAATTCTCAATCTTCACTTTTATGTATCATTTAACACTTTTTAGTTCTGAACTGCCAATTTGATTTTTTCCACCCCTATATAATATTCTAAGTTTCAGAGGAATTAATCACTAATAGTTAGGTACCCTTGTGACAAAATGAAAATTCATAGCAGCTATTCTTCTTGCTTTATAAGTTAAATACCATAAAATGAACTCAAATGCCATACTCCTCCTACAATATGCAGGCTTTGAAAAGTGTGAATAATTCTCTTTGATATTTGCTGTTGGATTATTTATAATCAATAGAAAAATATTTTAAATTACTGCTTTCCTTACGATGCTCATTCTCACAATCAGTTTTGAGTTATTTTGCATCAGTTTTATAGATTCATTTTGCTGAGATTACTTCAACTAGTTAAGCAAAATATCTTAAAGCACATATAGCTTAAAAGCCCAGTTAAATTATAATAGTTTTAGGACATTGCTTTTTTTGTTGCATATTGATATTTTGTTATCAATTGCATATATAAGTAACAACATTCTTACAAAAAACTTTTACGAAGACTTCCAAAGCAAAAAGTACAAGAGCTATGCATCTATGTTCTAATATTCTTTTTTTTGTATATATTTTTTATTTATTGTTATAAAAATCACTATAATGTGAAAATTGAATTATTAAGTTAGACGAGAAAGATTAAATCAAAAAATATATATATACATATACTAAAAAGTACGAGTACATCTTGCAAACTAAGCATGCTGCAATCTGACTGAGTGTGCTGGTAACTCAATGATGTGTTTATACAAAATATTCTCACTGTGATAATTCCCTTTGGCACTAATCTAAGAATCAGTAAATCTCAAGGACAAAAAACTTTGTATTAGCTTTGGCCATAAGAATAAATAGTGTATAATAGTTGGTAACAACATGTAATCATTCTAAAAATAAAAAAGGATAACTTAGATTTATTTTGTTCTTTAATTTCTTAATGGTGATTACAAGGTTGGTCAAACGGACTGAGTGTTAGGGTCAAGAAAATAAATAAATAAAAACAAATAAAACAAACTTTTCCTGAAAAAAGTTTTGACATTGATTTAAAAGGTTCTAGAATTTATGCAAATGAAAAATTGGAAACTGGAAAATAATAAAAAAAAAATTTTAACATGAAAATCACCACTCGGACTAAACTCCATAAATTCACCAACAAATTTTTAGTAAAGATACTTACTTAAAAACCTAACTTTTAAAGACTTGTATTGTTTATTAAAAGCTTGTCAAATATTCTGAAGATACACTTAGTACAGTAAAAGCTATAGTATGTAAAGAGTTAAATAGTCTCTAAGACATTTACATATTTCCCAAGTACTAATTTTTTAAATATATCTAAATGAAGCCCACCACCATGTAAGCATCTCTATCTACCCTTCAATAATTTCTGTAGATATAACCAATTTCCTTATGGGTTTAGACATATACTCAATAGCTCTTTAAAACTTTTTTACCATACCCAAAAAATACTTTTCTAGATCTAACACATCATAGACTTCCTAAGAACATTACTTAATAACTTTGATCCTTAAAGTTCCAAAGTAGCTCTTTCTGAATGGTTAACATTTTATCAGATACTAGACCACCCGTGACCCGTTGGGTCACCCACCATTCAGACGTTATGAAGAATTCAAGCTAATTTCAATATTGCACCGAAATGAAGGTTTATTTTTAGATATTTAAATCCATTCGTGTTATTCATAATTCAAGAAAAGATATTTGATTGATGATCGGGAGTAAAAGGAAAGACCATTTCATTTTTCAAAAAAGTGAAATTGGAGTTTTCAGGTATTGTGATGAATTAGTTCATTATGTTGTGGTCTTTCCTCATAAACCTTCTACAAATAAGAAACAGTAACACTATTTTTTCTTCGAATTACCTACCATAACCAAGGCACATTATCGAGAAATTCTTCAAGATCTTGTTTTTGTCATCTTATGACTTTTAATGAAGATAGCAACACTGACAAGGAAATAGATTTGTACAAAGAAGTTTTGTAAACAGTGCGAATGGTAGTGTGGTGTAAAATTACTCATGCTAGAAATGTTCATAAAAGTGCCCTGAAAAATGGTGCTAACTCGGTAACCCTTGGCCCGATTGTAACGAAACTTGTTTTATTCTGTTTCTATTCTCATTTCATTACAAATATGGTGCTATTGTGCATTGTTTTTGCTGCATTTAATTACAGACAAGCAAACAAACAATCTCAAGAGTTTTAGTAGTATATAGATGCCATTACTACCTTTAATAGCTCTAACAATAAATAAAAATAAACTGGGCATTATAAAAGTACTAAAGACATTTTTATTAGTTTATCCCAATAAACTATATCCTTCTTTCCTACATCATTCTGTAAGCAAGTTCTAGTTTTCCTATGCTTTCCATCAAATTAAAGAACTTCTTACAGCAAAAACTGCAGAATCCTTTCCTTCACACCATTCTCCTCTTAAAACTTTTGTACTGTGCTGGCATTTACTACTGTCAAAGCAACTCATTCCTTAAGATAATTACCCTGTTAGAAAAATAAAATTAACTTAACTAGACCAAAGATTGTTTTCTATATCATAAAGTTGCATCCTTTCATCTTATTGTCTTCAGAATATAGCACCAAAGCATATCAAAATATGCAATTTTCTCTACATAAAAACCACTAGTTAGACCTCATTTGGAACATCATGTGCTGTTTTGGTTTCCATAATTAAAAAATAATGTTGAAATGCAGTTCAAAGGCAAGCTACTATGATAAATTTCAGGGATAAAAATGTACAAGCAAAATAACCAGTCCCCTGTGAGAGGAAAAGTTTAAATTAATGTAGCAAAAATACTTGTCCCCCAATGATGGGAAACTTTTAAGTTAATCCAAGAGTTTAAATTATATCATGGATTTTAAAAAGGTTAATTGTGTTGCACTTTTGGTTTCACTTTGAGCCAAAGCAAAAACTACTTATACCACCCACTGCAAAAAGTAATTGTTAAGCATTTCAGTCCTGCTAAGAAACACTCAACAATAACATATGGTAAATCTACAATTTTATTATGCAAGTTATGTCACATGTTGAAATGCGAATGACAGTGTGATTAATTCATAACAATTTAGTGTAGAATATCCTGCTTGCAAAATAAAATTTGGCATCATCATTATTCATGCCTGTTATCCCATCATAGACATAGTAGGTTTTAGAACTTTAATGAACTGCAACTGCCTGTTGAGTGAAAAAGAGGGTGATGTTTTGGCTTCTATACTGAGGCCTTCAGGTCAGTGTAGGAACTTGTATAAAGTCTTATAAAAGGTAAGCGTGGCCTAGTGGTAAAGCTCAGTAAACCAACTGCAGTGATTGGAGGTTGTTGTTTATGAAATTGTGAGATCCTCAATTTATTTGCAGAGTTTGTTGAGAGTGGATGTCCATAGGTCGTTGATATACATGTCAATGTCTCTGTTGAGTTTGGGTTGGTGAAGTTTTATGTAAATAGCTTCTTTGATTTTTCTTTCTTCCCAGTGGAGAGCTTTGAGCCCAGTTTATGATATGTCCTGTTTTGTTGTTATGTTTAGCCAAAACCGATTTTTTCTCGGTGTGTTAGTCTTGCAGAGTCTACATTCTTTTAGAATTTGTTTTATGGTCTGACCAGTTTCTCTAATGCAAGTACTGTCACTGTATAGAAGCCGAAATGTCATCCTCTATTCATTCAACAGGTAGATGCAGTCCATTAAAGTTCTCATACCTACTGTTCTCCCATCAATTCAAAAGTGAATGTTGAGTTTTGTTTGCATGCACAGTTTTTCAAACACAGTGTTGGAAGTAACTGCAGTTAATGGGATACAGACAAACTCTCAGACAGACACCACAGTTCACACAATATACAAGACATTTCCTCTTGAAAAAAGAATGATAAGAGGTGATTATATTTAAGTTTACATGATTATCTAGGGAGATGAACAGGATAAATGCCTCATGTTATATTTCTAATTTAACAAGACATGAGGAGATAAGTTTCAGTTTTGGAAAAGGAAGACTATCCTCCGGTTAAGACAGTTATTTTTCTAACAGAATGATTTGCTTATTAAATGAGTTGCTGTCAGTAGTTGTGGAGGCCAGTACTTTACAGGAGTTTAAGAAGGGAATGAATAATTTATATAAAACTAATGGGTGGGTTTAGATTTTTATTATGGGTGGGTGTGCAAACACAATCTAGAAGGGCCAAATTTTTCCTCGTTTTTGTTACAGGAGAATAATTTTTGTAAACAAATTGCAGTTCATATATAATTTTTTTATTTTTTTTGGCAATGTACTTTTTCTTTAGGGAGTTACAAATTTATGGAATGATTTAACTGATAGAACAGTAGCAATCCTCAGAATTTTTTTCAACAAATCACTATCCTTAACATGGCCACCAGAACTGATAACAGTATGACAAAAAGAGGGAACTTATATTACAAGTTTTATGTAAGTCAAATAGATCTTAATTTCTTAAGTTATAATGATTTTTAAATAGGTACCAGCAATTTTATTTCTTTTAATACAATGAAACATTCAACAGAGTTCTGACTCAAAGTTATTCAAACAAAGAGGTAAGTCTCATAATTTATTAAAGATTTAAAATTAATTTCACTAAAAGTTAAAACTTCTTACAACTTACAAAAATATAAGTAAATTACAACTTAAAACAATTTTTTATGTCTTTAAAACTCTTATCTTTATGATATATATATATATATATATAATATAGTAAATTACAACCAAGATGCTTGGCTTTACCCAGTTACTACACTCAGTGCTGATAGTGATAATGTGATACGAAATTGAAAATAAAAGCAGATTCTCCAAATTCCAATGCCATATTACAACAACAACTTACAAGTCTTTTTGCAGAGTTATTTAATATTTTCACCTACGTATTTACTATTCCAAAAACAAAACTACATAAGAACAGTCAAGTCAAGCCTATTACCTCAAATATTTGAATAGCATTTCATCCCAAGCCCTTAGCTAAAGTTGCTAAAAGTTCAATTAGTACTACAGTGTTAGTAATAGCATTACTTCTAGTGCTACTGCTGGATCACTAACCACTAAAAAACTAGGCTTAATAAAGGTAACACAGAATTATGACACGAGCAATAGTCAATCTTTTTTTTTTTGTTTTATAATATTAAAGTGGAGTATTATCGTAATTTTTCTATTTCGTATGGCTTAGTAACACTAACAGTAGTCCTTAAATAATTTATTTATTGTTTCTGTTAGCTGGTGTGAGTGTTACTAACTATGTTAAAATAATAATTAAAATACCTACCACATCCAGTATCATTGTACTGTGTAGAAATTATATCACCTTCTTCAAGTCCTACCCACTAACATTGGTGCCAGAAAAAGTCAAATTACTTTCACAATGAGAAAAAGTTTTGCATTAATAATCAATTATAATACCAGTAATGCTATTATTAAAAACGCACTGCGCAAACATTAAAACAGCTTTAATTTTTAATCTTTATTAAATATAAAATTCAAATAATTTACTGACAGATATTTAATAAACACCAATAATATCACCTACTCCAAACTCTTCAATTTTATTACACTACACAACGCAATATCTTAGCTAAAAAAACGTGAAAGATGTTCCATAAGCAAAACGGAAAATAAAGTTACATTTTGTATGCTTTCTCAAGAAAATAATAATAAACCACTCGTGACTTTTACAATAATAATAAAAAAAAACAATACAAATAAGGTAATGGTGGTTAACTATTTTAAATTTTATACACTATTTTTGATAAATTAAAAATAGAAAACAAAATATTGTATAAGTGCAAAACTTAATATCCCGTTTTATAACCTTGAAATAAGACCCAAAACTAGAGCGCTTTGGGTCTTATTTTAAGTCTATTACACTTTATATGTGATCCTTTGTGCTAACTCTTTAATCAAAATTAATATCCCATTTTTTAAGATATTTTAGCAATTCAAAATTGATCTCATTTAGAAGAAATGGAAAGCGTTTTGCAGCTTTTTACACAAATATAATATTTTTTGCTGTTAACTGGTTTGTTGTTTGGTTGGTTTGTAATTAATCATAAAGCTACACAATCTGCTATCTGTGCTCTGCCCACCACGGGTATCGACACCCGGTTTCTAGCGTTGTATGTCCGCAGACATTCGGCTATGTCATTGGTGGGCAGCTGTTAATCACAACTTTAAACAGTGGGCTATCTGTGCTTTGCCTGTCGCGGGTATCGAAACCCGATTTTTAAATGTTACAGGCTCGCAGACTGACGTCTAAGCCAACATTAGAGAGGGGGGATAAGAAAGATTCTCGTTTAACATTTGAGATGCTTGTATCAATTTAGATCATAGGTCAAATCAACATTGTAAAAATGTTACTAAATCGCATTACACCATATTCATAATTGTAAATATACGTTGTTAATTTGTTCCTTTTTTTAGTAAAATGCTTTCAACCTACTTATACTTATATTTTCAGCTACAGCTATCTGCTCCAGCCATATCTAATTTTGAACTGATAAACCAGAGGAAGAGTAGCTAGTCAACAGCAACCACTGCCAAATCTTGGACTACACATACCTGACCGAATAGTGAGATTTGAAAGTCACTCTTTTAGCGCACCCGTGGTCCTAAAGTGCGGAGTACGTTTGCGTGACGAAGGAGACGCGAACTAGAAACCCTTTGATTTGCAATATTTGATACAGTACCGTTGAGTATACTTCATCCCTATTGTTATTGTCGTACGATAAAAGGATGACATTTTAAAAGAAATGTAATTTGTTATGCTTTTTCTCTAATGGCCAGTGTTTTTCACTGTAGCATAAATTAGAATAGCAACAAAAGCAATCATCAATATTTTCCAACAAATTGGATAAAATATTTCATTTTGCTCTTTCCTGTGCTGACTAATTATATTGGTTTGATACCTCATTCTTAGGTGCTATACGTGGATTTTCAAATTTTCATCCAAACGGTCATATTTTAGGGTCTCTGAATCCTCTTTGTGTCTCTAGGTTGTTGTGTCCAGAGATTACCCTGTGGTATGCAGGCATGCCTTTTCATTTGAATGTAAAACTTTTGCAAGATATTTCGTTGCAGTTTTTGTACAACACATAGCCAAGAAAGTCGTTATTTTTTTTTTCTGGCTGCCTCTGTTCCCTTGTTATTCTATAGAGATAACACCTATTCTACTCACAGACGAACATAGGTGTAATGCTAAACTTTGTACAAGAATGTCGACAGCAAGTATCCTCCAATGACAGTACAGATGATCTCGCAAGTGTATGTCTTCCCTATGTTTGAAAGAGGATAACCATCACGTCGGTGATCTCAGTCACTATGAGTACACTCAACGTTTCCTGTTAAATAATAAACGTTAGATTTATATGCCATGTACCAGCTCCTGGTTAGCAGAAAGATATCTCGAGAAAAGACATCATTTTAATCAAATCATTAATGCAGTAAAAGGCGACTCTTCAACATCCATATAAGCAAGTACACACATTATGTCTATGTCTTTGATCAATAGAGATTATTTTGTTTTCGTTACACATCATTTCCAGTTTATTCGGTTTTTGCTCAAACTCAACTAGTTTCAGCTAAATTCAGTGTCATCTCTTGAGGTATCTTGCTGATCCTCCCATGATATAATGGACCTGTTTAATACTCTTTGACTAAATCAGATTCATCTGAAAGTACAATAGAATAGTTAGGAAGGAAACATTTTGGTGCTCTGACCACGGGATATTATTGCAGAGTTTTCTATTTTCAACTAACATATGTATAACCCTTATTGAAATTGTGTGTTACTGGGTTTAAAGAAATGCTTCTAGCTCAAGGAATGACATTTTCTGCAAGTAAAAGTCCTCTTCTGAACAATGGACTTTTGTTTATGATACAAAGATTCATGACATTAACCTCTCTGCAACTGCAAAATCAGAAAGATCAGCCAATGTCTGGTGTACCCAGAACAGCAGATCAGACTTGTTTCCAAGGATCCATCTTAGCTCAATGAAAACACATATGACTGAGGTGGGATGGCATCTGGTAAATCCAAGTTTGAATGGTCTGTATAGGTATCCCAGCTTGTTGCCAGCCAAAGTAAGTCAACATCAGTTCTAGTTAAGGCCAGTAGAGAAGGACTGAATGTACTGCCTATAGATGAAGCCCATCAGTCAGAGCTGTTTCTGTGGCAGGTGAGACAGTGGGCCATAACCACCGAAGACCACAAACCATGGTACAGCTGTTACGAGGCTCTGCTTCCTCCTCTTCACCTTAACTCTACCACCATATCCTAGAGGGTAGTAATGGTCTAGTGATTGTCTGATAGAGCAGCCCACACCATGCCCCAAGCGTTTACTGTGACTCTCTTGGTGTCTGCCATCTTGGCCCACAAGCAGTGAGCTTTTTTCCTCAAGCTGTAACACAGATGTTGCCCTCCTATGTGGGTGGTCTTCTTTGATTATAGAGGGCCTAAGCTTTGGCCCGTAACCTTGGCAGTGTCACTTGTATATGGGAGTCTACTTTATCATGGGTCAGTTATGAATCACTACAGGTGGCTTCTTTGGAAGATCCATCTTTGACTTTCTCTGAGCCATTTCTTGGGACTGTTTAACCAATGGCCTTGGTAGCTACCAAGGTAGTTGCCTCTCACCTTTTCTTAATATGGGAAATGGTGATGGGTCCTGCTGTCAATGTCAATGGCCCTTTTAGTGGCATAGACCATTAGTGGTGAAGGAGATAACCCACGTGCTGACTAGCTCATCTGATGCTGTAGTAGCGGTTATAGTAATGGGCGTGGTACATTTTCACTCTACCCAACCCACGTGAGAGAGGATACAAGCTCTTCAAAGTTTTTTCTTTAGGGATATAGTGGGCCTGTTGAAGGTATGAACACATTTGGTGACATTTATTAGTGGAAATGTCATACCCTCAGACTGGAGATTTCACAAACAAGTCTCATTTCTTCTTGGCTAACATTGTATCTTTCTTAGGTAGCATCAACAGAAGTAGTATGGACAGTTGCTGAGCCATTTGTAGGTTTGGTGTCTACAAAATCGAAGAGGTGGTCATCACCATCACTTTCTTAGTAACCAATATGTCCAAAGAAAGCTTAATATTTCCAGGATTTAATACTATCATGAGAGCTGTTTGGTCTCAGGTGAATTCTGAGCTATCCCATGTCTGGTAAATTGGACAGCAATTAATGTTCATCCATAGAATCTGCCATGATAAATGTCAAATTGTCAAACTAGCTCTCAGAATACAAGATTTAATGGTTTAGTTCATTCCTTTATTGTAGAAGAAAATTTGGACGTACTGGTTTTCATCATATTGGTAGTCCATAGTGCAGGTAAAGAACTTTGGGAATTGGTAACAAGACAGAATAACAACTGGCTATTCGAAGAAAATGAGAACAAAAGTGGTCAAGAATTTTATATTAAGAGTGAAAGTCCATGTTGAATACCTAATATCACATACATTCCAATTGGTAAAATGTTCAGCAAGTTATGTAGGTTGGAAAGGTTCGTAAGTGTTTGTTTACCACTATGATGTACTTCTTGAATTCCTAACAAGTATTTTCAGATGTGAAAACTATTGTATTTTATCTATTTTCTCCAGTTGTCTTAGCTATGATGATTAGTTAGTACCACACATACTGTTCAGAGCTGACTTTCAGAGCTGTCTTTTGGCTTTAACTCCAGCATTCCCCCATTTTGCTCGACATGGACAGCCAAGTGAGTACCCTCAACTATTTACTCCTTGTCGGGTGAGTTGGTATGATCTGAGGTGACATTCTCCTCCTCCTGTGATTTGTTGATCTTATACTCAGACTCCTGTTTAAGCCAGTGCATTAAAAGCTTGTCAGTGAAGTCTGGATGCAGCTTATTAAATTGCACCAATTTCTTTGGGGTACCTTGCATCTACTGTAATTTATATTTCATTAACCCAACCTGACAGATTAAGTGTTACATACCTTTCCAACCAGATCCAAGCTGTTTCTGTATTATTGGTATGTACCACAGCCAGAAACAATCTCTATGCTGATACATCCATTCCTTTAACGTCTTGTTATAACATTTGTTCTGTCACTGAGCAGCCTTTCCTAGTTTTTGATGAGCTATTCTTGTGCATCGACTGATAGACATTAACCGCTCCATCTGTTCTAGGGGGAATTTCTGGGACCGTACATATATCAGCAGGGAGCAGTATTTCTCATCCACATGTGACTATATAGACAAACAACTTGTAGACCTCTGTATGTTATCACAACATAAGATGAGTGTTCATCCCTGTTGGTTTGGCCAGAATTAACAAACTTGGGAAGCATATACTTTGTATTTTGTTCTACCAATTATGATACAAAATCTGATTGAGATGATAGAACAAAGTGCATGTTGTGAGATAGCAAGTTCTCTTTTTGTAATGTTTTTTTATTTAAAATATCTGCATATTTTAATACAGATTGTTTTAATTGTTCATTGTCTCAACTCTTTAAATGTGAACACTGTACTTTTTAGTCAGTATCTTCTCAGC